TTATAAACTTACCTTTTAAATATCGGTCAGTTTTGAAGTTATATTTTTGTCTGCTTCAAGAACTTTCACCATCTCGGTTATACCAACTTTCTTTGCTTTATGAAAATATTTTGGTTCAGCAAATATTGCTATTCTATAACATTTTCCATTGTTTGTGTAAAGAACTATTCTGTCAATGTATTTGTATTGTTTGTGAGTATAAACTTTGTTCTGCTTCAATTCAATAAGATATCCGAATACGTCCATCTTTTTATTCTAAGTAAAATGTCATTTCCGAAAAATAGAAGCGTAAGTGTTTCAAAAGGTTTAATGGCGGTGGCAGATGTGAAGTTAAATTCACCAACTCAAACAAACAGTCAAAGTGTTGTTGTCAATTTCAAAGACAGAGATGTTGAAGTGGGGAAACCATACGAAGACGAAAATGGTATAACAATTGTTCCTGTAAAAGAACCAACATATCCTGAAGTTAGCAGAGACTTAAGTTCTGTTGCAGATATTCGAAACGACTACCAACAACTGAAAGACAAACTTCAAACTCAGGAGAAGATTTGTCAAGCTTTAAGTATAATGTTAAACTTGGTCGAACACAACCCTGTAAAAGTGAACTCATATGTCATTGCACCTCATGAAGTTTTGAAAGAACTATTGAAACTTTTGACAGAGGCAGACGATATAAACATCAAAGAAATAGAACCCGACATTAGTTGCTGTGGTGTTTCATATAATGTCATTGACAAGATATACGTTATGAAAGGAGGTGAAACGTTGAACTTAAAATATAGTTTCCCAGACGTTATAAAAATATTTGACGACCACAACATTTCATTAAAATTTATTTGCTAAGTAAAAATGTCAAAACTTCTTGAAAGATGTTTGAAGAAAAATAATATAGACTTTATTTCATGTAAAGGACTTTACACACTTTTGAACGATATGAAAGACCCTGTTTTGTTTGTTCGTGTAGACACAGGAAAGTTCTATGTCTTTACAAAATATTTGAACTTCTTAGACAGAGAACTTCAAGAAACGCCATGTGAAAGTTTAGATGAAGTTCTTCTCCACTTTCAGAAAAACTTTTAAATATATATAAATGGCAGAAGACATAATGGTTTATACTATTACGACTAAAAACCCTGAGTCATATAATTCTATAACAACAAACTTACAAAGTCCTCAAGGACGATATGTAAACTAACCTTAAACACAATGACGACTAAAGCCTGTTTTGCTCTTTTGACACCAGAAGACTTTATTGTTGTGAATGGTAAAAAATACTCCTTTGAAGATACTTACTCAGATATACCACCAACAGGTTTTGTTGACTTATTTAATACTTTAAGTACGGTGTAACATGTGCTGCAACTAGAGCAGGTTTCATTATGTTTGGATGTCCGACTGAGTTTACTATAAACGATATGAGCTATAATACAAAACTTATTTCTGGTTTTTACTACCAACAGTTTCCTATAACAGGAAAAGGTGTCATACAAGGAATGTCTATTCCATTGACATTAAGCACACCAATCTTATATATTGTTTCAAACTTAGGTTCAAAGTGTTATTCGAATGTCGACAGAAACTATTATGACCAAAAGATACTTATGCGTATAAACAATACTTTCTCTGCTGGTTTGCCTATTGTTCATTCGAATGCAGAATTTTCAACCTTAGTGAACTCAAACACTTTGGCAAGTATAACGTTGACATTAGTTGACGCAAACTTTGTTCCTGTAAAACTTTTATGTCCTATGTATTTGTCAATGACAGCAGAAAGTTTCGAATTGGAAGATGCAACTGGTGAAAGTATTGTATTACAAGAACAACTTCAACAACAAATAGCTCAAGAACAACAAATGCAACAAATGGAACAACAAAGTCAAGAATAAAAAAATATTATTTTTTTTATTTTTATAAAAATGTACAGAATAGATGTTTCAGATTTTTATGACTTCCAAGCATTCAGAAATATGTGTCCATTTAGAGACTATAACAAAGCAGTCGAGATTTGAAACGTTTAGTCATTTATGTTGACTCTGCCCCAGAATGTTATGTCATGAAAGAATGGGATGTTGTCTTTAACAAACCAAGAGCAACAATAGTGTCTGAACAAGAATGTAGACAGAAACTTAAGAAAATAAAAGTTGTACAAGTTGGTATGAAGATGTTAGATGCTTGGGATATCTTATTGTCAAAGTTAGAAGATTTTTCAGTTCGAGGTATAAAGTTCTATACACCTTCTCCAAACTTCTATTCTATCTTCACTGGATATAAATACGAACAAGTAGAATGGAAAGAAAATATTATAGAAGCTTGGTTAGACCATGTCAAAGAAATTATATGCAATGGAAACGAAAAGGTTTATGAGTATATCTTATGTTGGTTTGCAAACATCTTACAACATCCAAGTGCTAAAAATGAAACTGCTCTCATTATAATTGGAAAACAAGGAACTGGTAAGAACACATTCTTTACAGATATTTTGTGCAAACTGTTAGAAGGTTATTCGAATCCGAATATGACAAACTTAGAAAACATCTGCGGTAAATTTAACTCCTCAATTGAGAATATGAAACTTATAGTTTGCAATGAACTTCAAAGTATAGATACAACAAAAGTTTTAAACTCAGATGCTTTGAAGAGTCTTATAACAGATAAAGTTGGAGTTGTTGAAAGAAAGTATAAAGACTCAAGAGTTTGTGAGAATGTTGCAAACTTCATTATGGTTTCAAACAATGCTGTTCCGATGAAGTTAGAAAGTTCTGACAGAAGATATGTAGTTGTCAGAACGTCAGATTCTCATATGCAAGATACAGAATATTTTGACGACTTAGCAGAAACTTTGACATCTGACTTTTACAACCACTTGTTCTCATATTTCATGACATTAGATATTTCTAAGTTCAATCCAAGACAAATTCCACATACAGAAGAGAGACAAACATTGTTAGAAGCAAACAAGAGTGTATATGAACTGTTCATAGAAGAAAGCGACTTTGTGTCATTAGATGAAAGGTCTTTATATGATTCGTATAAACAATATTGTCAAGAATATGGTTATATGGCAGCTTCTAAACGAACATTCTTGGCAAATGTCAAAAGTCTTTTAGATGTTCAGAATGGTGTATATACAAAGAAAAATTTTTCTGAGTAAATTTTAAAAAAAATATTTTTTATCCGATAGAAAAAGATGGCAAAATTCATCTCAGTAAATAAGTACATGACAGAAGTCAAAGATAAGTTAGCTCCATTCGCATATTTGAATGTTTACTTCTACCATTTTGAAAAGTCTTCATTCAGCAAAGTTTGGAACATCGAACCAGTTAAGTTTGCTATTGTTAGAAAAAGTGGTGCAACTTTTGAAGACTTAGACATAGAAGGTTTGTTAGCAGTCAAAGAAAGTTTTGACAGAAGGTTCTCAAAACTCGAAGAAGGTAAAGCATACAAACTTGTTATACCTTATGAACCAAAGAAAGCAGACGACTATGAATATTATGAGTCTAAGATAGTTGAAGTTCAAGGTAAATTGGGTAAAAAGATTTTAGAGTCTAAGCCAGTGTTTGCTCCTAAAGAGGAAGAGAACATTGACATTGACCCAGAAATGTTCTAAAAATAAAATTTTATTTTTACATGTCAAATTTCTTTTTCTCTGGAACTGGTTCAGGTTCTTTCTTCTCTTCTTCTACTTTCTTTTCTTTCTTTTCTCTCTTCTTCTTTTCTGGTGGAGTTATGTCAAATTTGGCGCAACCATATTTATGTAAAAGTTCTTTGTCCTTTAATAGCTCATCTATTCTGTTTTCTATTTCATCTTCAAGAACAGCGCATGTGTCTTCTTTGCATTCTAAGAAGTTTTGTTGGACTTCATCTCTCCAAGAGGCGTCATCTCTGTCAACAAGTCTGTCATTGACAAATTTTAAGACTGCTCTGCTTAATGTTTTATGGTTCTTGTCATATTCCCAGAAACAGAACTTTAGAACAAATTCACCTTTCTTGTTTACACTATGTAAGATTTTATGGTCGACAGAAGTTTTAGAGTCAAAAAGCTTGTCTCGAATATAGATAGCGAAATCACTAGACATTTTCTAAAAGATAAAAATTTTAATTTTTCTAAAAATATGTTAGAAAAAAAGTTTGCTGACATTGACAAGAAATTTGAGAATGTTTTAAACAAGAACAAGAGGAAGTTAGAAAATGCTCAGATAAAGCCTATACATGAAAAGTTCTTATTTGCTCAGAATGGTATAACAGGTCTAATCGCACCACCTGGGTCGGGTAAGACTTTCACTTATCTTAAAATGGCTGCACAACAACAAGAACTAGATGAGAAGAACCCATTCTATGAGTTAGTTGTTATTTGTAGTACTTCTGGTCAATTTGACCAAACCGTCAATTCGTTCAAAGATATTATAAAGAAGTCTAAGTTAGTATGTATAAAGGATACTGAGTTGTTAGATTGGATAAAGAAGTACCAAAGAAGAGTTTTGAAGTATAATGCTATAAATGAGTATATAAATTCTAAGTTTAAAGACCCAAATGAGGAAATGCAGAGAATATTAGAGAAGAAACACTTCAGAAACAAACAGAAAGAGATAGAATACATTTCGAAGAAATTGCAATCTTACGATTGGAAGACTTACCCTCATAGATGTCTTCTTATTTTAGATGACTTTGCTTCTCATCCTTTGTTAAAGAACAGAGAACAAGATATGTGTCGAATTCTTAAGAAGCTCAGACACTTTAACATCTCAGTCGTAATATGTGTACAGACAGCAAAGAGTTTAAGTAAGGATGTTAAAAGAATACTTACTGACATAATACTTTTCCCCGGATTGTCCGAAGACGATTTCATGGAACTTATGAAAGAGTCCATGGCAGGTAAGTTTGACAGACATGAACTATGGGAGAAGTACAAAGTCATACAAGACCCTCATACTTCTTTCAGAATTCATATCTACGCAAACAAAGTTCAAATTGTAAAAAGTCAAGCTTGAAAAATAAAGAGTTCATTTACTCTGCTTGTTTGAAGGCGACCCCGAAAGAAGTCGGTCTCGCTGTGCTTCACTGTTTTCATAGAGTTTTGGCGACTGGGGTTTTTTAACTACTCGCTGTTCTTCACTGTTTTCATACGGAATCTCTTCCCTCGGTTTTCCGAGGGAAGCAAGCATATGCCATTTTACTCAGATTTTTGTTGCTGAATTCAGCAACAAAATTCAAATTGTAAAAAGTCAAGCTTGAAAAATCTAAGTGTTTAGTCTTAGTAAGATGGTAGCTTCTTAAAGCATATGCCGTCCTTGAGTTTTATGTACGTGAAGAGAAGTACAATGAATTCAATTACGAGTACAATTGCAATGACAACTAAGGCAACTATTTTTGTCTTTTGCCAGCAAGAGTACTTCTTCTCTTCCAATGGTTCGGCAGAACTTACTCACTCATGAGAAATGCCAAAACGGTTTAATAGAAAAAGTGTCATTTTTTCATGTCCGAAGACTCGAAGGTGCAACACTTCCAAAATACCGACGAACTCAGAAGAGCAGCATGGCAGTATCTTCTTGACAACTTCTTTGAGTTCTCCAGGTACACCTTGGAAAATGCTGAAGAACTCCGACATAGAGAATTTGGAGAAATTGCACTCCAATACTACATTGACAAACAAAGGGTAAACAAAGGGTAAACAAAGGGTAAAATAAGACTAAAAACTTAACGTTTAAAAAGTGACATTTTTATGAGCTCCGAGTCACCGAGAAAACTTGGTCAGATGTTAGCAGCTTACTTCCCTGAGGAGGATGGAAGCGTTACATACGTAAGGTTCAAAAACAACGAACCTGGAATTGCGTACCAAATTCGCAATTACATGACCATGGAAGAGTACGAAAGGTTCCTACAAGAGAAACCAGCTCTAAACAACTCAGAAAAGAAAGAATAAAAAGTTTAACTCGTAATTGTTTATTTTTTTACTTGTATGGGCAAGCTGCAAGAATGAAGTCGACTATCTCAGTCTTTGTCTTGACCAGTTGGACGGCTCTTGCGAGTACGTCTGTTTTGCGGTCTCCAGCTGGTGTCTGACCTTCGTAATTGCGCATGTTCTTGAGAGCTCCAACTGTAAATGGTTGTAGGATGAAGAGTCTCTCAGACTGCTTGAGGTAGTCTTCACGGTCACGAACCGAATCTGTGGTACGAGTCGAATTGGTCGACCTTAGGGAAGAGACTGAAAGCCTGTCGTCTTCCATAGGAGCTGTAGCATACTCTTTGCGTAAGCGGTTCAGACCTTCTTCGAAGTCTTGGTCTCTCTTGGACTGAGATTGGAATTGGAATTGCTGGGGTGGAGCTTGCTGGAACATCCAAGGGTTGGGGAAGTAAGGCATAGGCTGAGGAGGGTAGTTCGGGAAGCCTTGTGGTAGGTAGTAACCTTGAGGTGGAAATTGGTAGTAATTCGGAGGTACTTGCTGGAACTGAGGTGCAGGGGCTGGTGCTTTAGGTTCCTCTGGTTTGGGAATGGACTCGGTTGGTGGGACGTCGGACATTCGTTTGTGGCTTAACCGTCGGACCACAACGATAAAAATCTCTGCTACTAGCAGTACTGCTACTGACAGTAGCAGTACTTTTACTGACAGTAGCAGTACTTTTTCTGACAGTAGCAGTACTTTTACTGACAGTAGCAGTACTTTATCGTCGAAAACCCTCTCAAATTTTCCTTTTTTCTGCTCCTAGCAGTACTGCTACTGACAGTAGCAGTACTTTTACTGACAGTAGCAGTACTTTTTCTGACAGTAGCAGTACTTTTACTGACAGTAGCAGTACTTTTTCTGACAGTAGCAGTACTTTTACTGACAGTAGCAATGGTCGAGGTCGAACCTACCGACGAGGCAATTTACCTAATTGAAATTAACGAGCTTGTTAAAGACTTCCTCAGGCAGAATGTAAAAGGCAAGCTTGTTAACTGTTGGATAACGGGAAGGGCTGCCTTGAATCTCGAGACTTCGACTGGAATTCCAATTCAAATACCAGACGGGACAGCCTACGACGACATAAAGCAAGCAAAGAAAGAAGCTCTTCTCAAGTTCTTTGCCAAGCGTCCTTGGATACTACTTCCAAACAGAGAGAACCCTTTCCCAAGAATGAGCCAAATTCTCAAGGGTCTCCTTCACTTCTCGGTCAGCCGTTCTACATAACCTGTGAAGGCGACATCCAACCACCAGTTCAGTAAACCTTAACGTTTAGAGTAAAAACATTTTTTTCATTTTTTGAATGAAGCAAGTTAAATTCGTCCCACACCAATCTCAATGGACCGATGAGAAGTTTCAAGCCATGTTGAAGACGTTGAGAACGACATAGACGACGCGAACTTGAAGGAGCTCAAATCACAATTGCAACCAAAATTGCAGGAGTCAAGGAACAGATAGCTCCACTTAAAGCTACCAAAGCTACTCTTGACCTCATGGATAGTTACCGTTAGATGTCAAGAGTGAATAAGACAATTAAAATTAAAACTTCTAAACTACGAAGCTATACTCCAAAAGTTAGCAGAAATGAGAAGACTTTACCAGAGCTACTTACATGTAAGGACTTACCTTCAAGCAGTCCGACCAAAGATGATTTTCTGACATTGTCCCAATTTTGTCCGAAAGTCAGCTCAGATGTTTTGAACTGCCCCAACATATCCAGAATATGAAAATTTGCCTGAACTCTTCCGCAATCTCAAAAAAACGTTTTTGGTTCTCATGTTCCAAACTTTTATCGGAAGAGACAACAAACGTTCAGAAGAAGAACAAGATATTATTTTAAACTTGTTGTATGACTTAACTGTCATAACAAAGCTTTTGAAGTAAAACCGTCATTCTCAAACCACTTCATTTTCGATGTCCGAACAAGCACCGAAGCCAAACTCAATGGCAGATGCCTTTCAAGGTTGCCAGACAAGCGCCCAATTCAAATTCAAATTGCCCAATTGAAAGCTCATCTGACAAACACCTAAGACTCTCCAAAGTTGTCTTATGACAGAGATGACCAAGCTCAAAGCCGATGTCCTCATGAACCAAGCTTCCAATGAGAAATGCCTGAACGATTTCGCGGAAACCTTGCGCAATTACGAGAGAGAGAACCGAGACCTTTCCAGACTCATCTACCGTTTCTTCGAAGAGATAGATGCCATCTGGAAGGTACTCGGAAAGGACAGAACCTCCAACACCGTAATTCGTGAACACAGAATTGAAGAAGGAATTGTCGAGGAAGAAGAGAAACACGAAGAAGAGGAAGAGGAAGAAGAGGAAGAAGAGAAACACGAAGAAGAGGAAGTTTGGGCAACCCTTGTTGCCGATGACACTTACGAAATTTCCCAACCCTACCCATACAAAATCCGCAACAGGGAGACCGGCAAGGTTCTAACCCCAGTCCTCAACAACTTGGGACACTTGAACCTTAACCTTCGGAATCGCGGTTCAATCTCCATGGCAAGCTTGTCGCAATTCAATGGGTTCCAAATCCAGGCAAGAACGAAGGTCAGACCACATTGACGGTGACAAGCTCAACAAACCGTTAAGGAGAACTCGAGTGGTTCTAAGAGTAAAAAAATTTATTTTAGGGGGAAACCCCAAGTAAATTTAGGTGTTTATTTGGATAAGTATGTTAAATTAAGGTCAATTTGCAAAATTAGTTCCCGACCTTTGAATTGGACTCTTTCGTTCTCCCAGTTGCGTAGGAGGTCGTCCCAGAGGAGTTGTAGAATTGCCAATCCAAGGACGATTTGTCCCCAGGCATTGAGGATGTACTGCTCGTAGAGTTTCATGACCTCTGCCTTGCCACCAGACACCCTCTCCCTTGGAACGTAAGGCTTCTTCGAAGTGCTCGAATGCGATTGGCGCATGACCATCCGAAATGACACTTTTTGTCCGTTGGTCAATGTTCTGTCTCGTGCCATAGTCGACGAAAATACAGACAAACAGGTTATATATGAGTTTGAGACCAAGAATGGTGTAACTCGACCTGTCCGATTCAAAGACTCCGAGGGCGACCATGAAATTAACGGAAATTACCTAGGAAGGAATATAAAATGGACTGGTGCCACCACCTCCACCTCCACCACCTTTACCTGTTCCTCAAGTAAATAAGCCTTTCCCGTTCCCAAGAATTCCCACATTTTAATTCAAATTCGAATAAAAATTTTTTATTTCAGCAATGTTTTATTTCTGTGCCGTCATCAAGTATGCCCCAATATTTCCTTTTCGATATTACATGAACTTCGGTGAAAATTTTGTCCAATTTGAATTGACCCATCTTCTCACCGACTAAACCCATTTCAATGAGTTGTTATAGCCTTCTTCGTTCGTCATGAGTGCGTCAATGTTCTCATAGTAAACCTTGACTTTGGATTTGACTTCGGAGAAGAATTTTGTAGTTGTCAAGGACTGCTTTGCGAACTGAGGTAAGACCAATGTTCGACAATAGGTTTTAATGTGGTTACTAAGCCACTTTGACCTTGAGTGAATTCGTACTTCAAAACAAAAGGAGAAAACCTTTCAACAAAGTTGTCGACCTTCTCATAATGTTTACTCTTCATCTCTTGAGGTTTTTTAATGGAATATCCCCATGTCGAATTCAAAGCAATTTGAGTTCATTGCAAGTTTGGGGTTGAAGCTTTCCTAATATCATACAGTTGTTGTATGACTTTCCAACTGTATAGTTCCTTCCCGGAACTCACCATCTTCGTTTGGAATTCCAGTCGGAATATATTGGACAAACCTCATGTATGCAGCGTTAAGGTCGACATAGTATATCTTTTCGTTTGAGTCGAACTTGTCGCAACCAATTGGTCCAGTTTGTGGAATCAAGTGAGTCTCTTATCTTCTGAGAAACTTCTCCTGTTATCTCATAAACATCGTCGAAGCAACCTGTTTCATATAAAACCTTCTGACCTAACTCAGATGCTCTCCAAACAATTTGACGTCAATTGGATGTCTCATGGAAGTTTATTTAATAGCATCTTGAAGTTCTTGCAACCTCATTGGAAGTTCTTCTGGTTCAGGTTGGTATCGAACAATCCAACTCCTTGTGGAATTGTGTACTTCTTTTGTACTAGAACTTTGTCTGGAACACTTTTGGTCTTGCTAACAGTGAAAAAGTTTGTTTCGTCTTTTGGTACAAAAGTTTCTGTCAGCTTGTCATCTGGAAT